AATGGAGGGCAGGGGATCACCCTCACCCGGACTTCCCGGCCCTGTAGCGGGCATGGGCGTCCCATGGGACTGATGAAAGACTGACGCAAAGTACCTATTTAATAGGTTGGCTTTTTCCTGTGCGTCAGTTGTCAGTTGCCCCATCTGGGTCAGCAGGGGTCCAATGTTGCCCCTGCTTTTCCTCCGGCTCCCCACATATCTGAAAAAGGACTTCTTATTGTCCTTGATGCTCAAAGCTAGCTGGAGTTCAGTTGCAGCCTTGGCTTTCCTGGTCTGCTCCCTACAGGACCGGACCAGTGCAAAATAATCCTCCTTGGAGGTGACTCCCATCCTCCACCTTTTGTAGGCCTTTCTTTTTAGCCTCAGGAGATCTGCTAGGTAAAACAGTATCTGCTCCTTCGATGCTTTCCCGATGCCTAACATAGAAGAGATGCTGGAGAAGATAGGGCAGGCCGAGTTCATTTCGACCCTGGATCTAACGAAAGTGTACTGGCAAGTCCCCATGGCACCAGAGGATAAGATGAAGATAGCTTTTGGCACACCCTGGGGTTTGTACCAGTTCACTTGGATGCCTTTTGGCCTACATGGGGCAGCGACTTCTTTCCAGAGGCTAATGGACAGGATCCTAGCAACACACCAGGAGTATGCCACAGCCTATATCAATGATATAGTGATCTTCTCCTGGACCTGGGATCAACACGAGGCATGTACAAAATATCCTAGAAGAACTGAGGCACAATGGGTTAACTGCCAACCCCAAGAAGCGTGCCCTCGGGAAATCAGAAACAAGGTATTTGGGGATTAAAGTGGGATAGGGGAGAAAGTGGGGCAGACACCCCTTGCAGACAAAGTGGAGGCAATACGGTTCTGCAGATTACCTCAAATGAAGAAGTAACTAAGGTCCTACCTGGGGCAGGTGAACTATTACAGATGACTCATACCGTGGTTCTCAAAAACAGCCACCCCTCTTACAGACCTGCTACAAGGTTATGTTCCGGTTGCACACTGATGCTTGTCACGGCTGTTGGAACGGTATTGTCACAATACATCCAAAGGGAAGAAAGGCCTATAGCATTCACTAGTAAAAAGTTAGCTAAAACAGAGATACAATACTGTACTATTGAAAGAGAGTGTCTGGCCATAAAATGGGGAATCCAACTGTTTAGATATTACTTATATGGGAGAAAGTTCCTCCGTATTACTGACCACACTCCACTTCAGTGGCCCCAGACCTCCAAGACAGAAAACCCCAGATTAATGAGATGGGCCTTAGCCCTGCAACCTTTTTTCTTTTCTATAGAGCACCGGCTGGGGCGAATGAACATCGTGGCTGACTTCCTATCCCGACTGACAAGACAACAATGGACCAGAGGGAACGGTGACAGACAAAGAGAATGGATCCGGACAAAAGATGATGACAGAGATCTCGTGGGGACTCTCCACTGGGGGGGAGGTGTGTGACAGGCTGTCTGAAGCACCTTGCCACGAACAGAATCAGGAAGAAATAAAAGAGAGAAACTTACTTCACGGAGCAGGAGGAGCCACGCCAAACCCTGCCACGATCAGGACGATCAGGAGTCGGCTGCGGTTGCACCAGATCGAAGGCATGAGAAGAAAAAGTGGTGCGGGAAAAGAACAAAGAGAAAGGGAGAGGTACCGTGCTGGTGAGCAAAGAAGGAACAGCTGGGTCAGGCAGGCAGCCAATAGGGAACTGCCACGATGGACCCAGCTGAAGACAGGAAGATTTAAGGGATGCCGGGGGAGCGCCCTGAGAGAGGCAGAGGAAGAAAGAAAGCAGAGAAAAGCATAAGAGAAGAGGAGAGAGCAGGTGAGAGAAGATGATCAATTAGAGGGCCAAAGTGTAATCTCCAACCCCTCAATTTACCAGACAAGGTCCAGCCGGGAACTGGAGCCAAAGGAGAGGCTTGAGTGACGAGTGAGTCCAATTCCAGGGGGGTGAAGGGAACCACTCTGGGGACCAAAAGGAAGAGGAACACGAAGGTGACATTACTCCCCCAGAAGAGGAAGAAGAGAGAGTGGACCCCAGTCACAAGAGTGTGACAGGGTGGGGGGGACAAGAAGAGAGAGAGAGAGAGTGCGCGATCTATATCTATATAAAATATTAGAGAGAGAGAGAGAGAGAGAGAGCACGTGCAATCTTGGGGCCCATGCAGGGAAGAACAGGGCAAGCAGCCACTTAGACAAGGGCCCTAGTCGAGATCCTTCAAGCAAAGATACTAACAGACCTTAGAGGCAATCGACAGTGATTAGACACCATCACGTATGATGAGGGCAGGGGATGGGGATGGTGGAACCCTGCAAAGAGCCACTAATGTTTTGAGTCCATAACCATTCTCAGTTGCCTGCCTACTGGGGAGCACTGTCTAAGCGTATCTCCCATAACACCAAAGGCATGGCAGACATCTAAGTATACTTTCTAAGCATATCTCCCATAACATCAAAGGCATGGCAGACAATCTACTACAATGAGACACTACTATTTCAGCAGGGAGGCGACGTGACTCTGGGTGGCGCAAAGACCCCCTTACAGATGGTAAAATGTGTGGGGAGAAGGAATCATAAACTGTGATAACAACACCTCAAGCAGTTTTTTGTTTGTTTTTTTTTTTTTACAGAAGCACTGAAACAGGAGAGAACAGGCATACTGCAGAGTATATCAGTAGTAAAATGTGTGAAGTCCTACAGAAAATTGGGAGTGGTAAAGTATTTGCTTGGTGGACTGACAATGCAAGTAACATGAAAGCAGCATGGGAGATCATAATGGATAAATATCCACATATTACTGCAATAGGATGTGCATCCCATGGGCTAAACTTGCTTCTTAATGACATCATGAAGTTGGACAATACAAAAGATCTATAGAAGAGCAAAAGAAGTTCTAAAGAAAGAAGTTCTAAAGTATGTAAAAGCTACTCATATTGTAGCTGCAATCTTTTAAGAAGCAGAAAGAAAAGAATGCAAAGAATAAAATAGCGACACTCAAACTGTGTAGTAAAACTAGATGCTACTGCATTTGGCTGGATTACAAAACAGGCAACACACTTAGGACTTGATATAGGAAAGGCATTTTCAAACGTTGCAGAATGCTGAACATCTTCAGGTATTTGGTCCAGAAATGCAATCTGGGACTCTGCCAAGCATATCCCTGGGCTGACCCCAAGCATACCTCTCCTGCAACATGGTGGCAAGGCTTTCGCACAACATATCCTGACTGCTCTTGCTTCTCGCCTGCTTCAGAGTCCTCCATCTTCTGCAGCATGTGAAAGAACCTTGTCTATGTTTGGAAATGCTCACACCAAATCAAGAAATAAACTAACATGTGAAAGAGTAGAGAAGCTTGCCTCAATCTGGGCAAATCTTCAGTTTTCAGAAGTCCATGAAGATGATAAAAATGAAGGATCAGCAGAAACTGCTGATAGCAATAGCTCAGAAAATTAGACAAATGTAGCAAAATTTGTATTCAATGAGTCTTGGCTTTTTCCCCCCTTTTCTTCTCAGCTCTTTTTCTAAAAATGAGTACTTTCTGTATCTGCTTGACACTGTAGAGGAGACTAAGTCCAGAATACAAAATAACTTTCTTTGTTTTACTATAATGTTGATGGTTTCATTTTCAACTTTAATTTTTGCCTGCTTCTCATAAACTAGCAAAAACTAAGAGATGATAGGTTCCTTAGAGTTCAGCAGCTTGTAGCTCCAGTTGTAACAAAAATTAAAAACATTTTAAAGTAAATTCAATTAGTAAATGTGTAATTATTGTCTGAATAAACTATCCTTTTACATTTAATAAATATACCAGACATGATAATTTTATGAGCAAACCAAGTTATACATAATACATTTTATGTTCTTAAAGTGGCAAAGTGAATCTAGATCTGTAAAGCGTGCTAAGGAAATAAGTATTGCATATATCTACATTTTCCCCAAAATTTCCATTCTTTTCCAAAAAAAATGGGGGGGAAATGTTTTTTTTCCATGGCTTCAAAATTTCCAGAAATTTTACATCTCTAGTTAAGGCTTTTCATAAAATAATACAGGTAAAATCTTTAGGGGAGTCCTTCACCATAGTTTCCTGACCCATCAGATTTCATGTTTACTCCCACCTGTCCCTTGGTCTTCTCCTCCCTTTCTCGAATATGGCCAGCAACAATCCTTTCAGTTTCTTCGCAAAGTCTTGGATAGGTTGCCAACTGTAAAATAAAATGATTAGGTTTTTAACTTTCTAGGTGATGTTAAAAACATATAAATGTAGGATTTATATTATACAAGATTTCATCCCTAGAGAAAAGGAGTTTTGGAAAATACTAATAACAACAAGAACCTATGAAAAAAGATTAATTACCTGCAATAATCATTTTAGAGTAGACATATAGACACAGAAACTCTTGAAATGGGGGTGTATATTTGTTTTATAATATGCTCAAGGGAGTAATGATCAATTTGGGTGCATGCTCCTTTGCAGAAATGGAAAACAATATGCATGGGACCCCATAACTAATGCCATCAAATCTTGTTCATTTTTTCTGAATCCCTGGCAAAGCTTTTCTAAAATGGAAGGAAGAAGAATGGAGAAAGAAGATCTGTATGTGAGTTTCAAGAACAACATACTGCTAAGGAACCTTTTTTGTTTTATAATTTTTGAGTATTGGCTGAAAAGATCTGGAAGACTTTCACTTATCTCAACACAGGATGATTAATGTTTGCATGGTTACATGCTATTAAAACCAGCTCAGGGGTGTTTTTTCATCTAATTTTTGCCCCCTAGCTCCAATAGGTAAATTGTAAGGTTTAGAGAAACACCTTGAGCACACCAATAAACTGGTTTAGATTAAACTCATGTAATTTTAGACAGAAATTTTGGACATGAACATATAATTACTGCAATTTATCAGGCATTAGGTCTCTCCAAGTATCCTGGCTAAGCAATGCAGTCTTGAGAGATAAAGAACATCCTCACTACAATGAACCCCCATGGGACTGGAACAAAAGCTCTAAAAGAAGAAGTTGGCTATAATAGGGTTAGTCAATTTGCAGCATCCTCATCATCATAAAAAAATCAGTTCTCGCTGCTGGGATTGTTAAATGCTGGGGTTTGTTATAAATGGAGTTTGAGATAATACTGCTGGGCTGTAATTAGTGGGAAATATTCTCTCAAGCACTGAAATAATGAACATGATTCATAGATGTGATTTCATCAACAGTGTTGGCTCGTAAGAAATGGGAAGACAACTCCAAATCCGTTCAGTGGGCTAGTAATAATTGGGCTTGCAAGTCTGACAAACAGGATAGTTTTGACAGATGGTTATAAGGTAGAATGACTGTACTTTGGACTAGTCTAACACTGTATAAGTATTTATCATTTATGTACGGGGGGGTTTTTGGGTTCGGGTTTTTTTTTGGGTTTTTTGAGGGGGTTTTTTGTTTTGTTTTGTTTTACACAAAATAGTACCTGCATGCCAAACAGGGCAACATTTGAAATCAGAATTGTAGAAATCCGTGAATGTACTTTTACTGGAAGTTCACAGTAAAAACCTGTTCCTTTCAGAGTAAGTCTTTTCTTTATCAAAAGGCCTATGACTCGTCACAATAATTAGTTACACTTTTTAGGAGCAAGCAACATCAGAATTCAAGTCTGACATAATCCAGACCACCAGAGAATATTCTGGGTGTGGATGAAGAACCTAACCTGTGACAAAACAGCTGAAGGAGGAGATGTTTTGTCTTGCATTTCTCGAGTCAACTTCTTGGATGATACTATTATGCATAATAAAGTTCTCTTCACTATATGATCAAAAAACAAGATAACAAACCATGTCCTTATAATTCTGAATGGGTCTCCTAATTGCTATTTTACTAAACCAATGCAGTTAGTTTTGCCTTGGCATAGCAGCAGGGAGACCCTTTGGATGAATGCAGGGGGAGAACTTACTAAAGACTACTTATAACTGAAGTCACTTAAACAGCTCCTGCTCTATGCCAGTTCAAGTAAAGGCCATATTGTTTGACAGACCTTTGGAGAAAGTTTTTCTCCTTTAGAAAAGCAAGGAAATATTAAGTTTTCCTTTCTTCAATAGTCATCCATCCACTGAAATCTACACAGCTTCAAGTCTATCAGAAGCAAACAGAATAACAGAAAGACTGCCAGAATCCAAAAGGCATTTGCTAAAACCATGCAATCACTGCAGCTCCTATTGCTAATTATTCTGTTATTCCCCTGCCCTTCCCAAAAAGGTACTACATTTCTTTTTAAAATATAAAGTACTTTCATTATTTATGCAAACTACTGACACAAACTTAAACTAACCAACAGTACTGAAAGAAAAGAAAAGAGGTGCCAAGATTTCCACCCTCAAAAAAGTCATAGTAGCTAGTAAAAAAAAAAATAGAAAAGACAATCAGAACCAAGTTTTCTGTACACGCTAGCTTCAAATGTTCAGATTTTCTAAAGGTGTATGCACATGAGGAAATGGTTCTTAGAGGGCTCCAACTTGGATGCCAAGGAAGCACGCATAACCCAAGTGCATGGATCTACCCAAGAAGTGCTCAAGGGAAGAGGCTCACATCACAACAGCAAACCAGCTCCAATGCAGTTTGGTGATGCTAAAGAAAGAGAACAGTCCTGAGATGACCTGTAGGGAGTTAGATATGAGAAACTGTGCAAAATGTAAAAGCAATACTCACACTTTCTTACATTGTATTATTATGATAAATTTTCAAGTGGTCTATTTTAGAAGAATAAGATATATTTTATCTATATAATCTTAAATTTGCATATCACTACACACTCGTGTATACACACCAAATTCTATTTCTTATTAAAAATAGTTTTCATCCCAGAAACAACACCAAATCGTCTACCTTGGAATGGAGACTGAAAGGATGCCTGGGAGAACTAGTGATACTTTACTTTTCCATTCAGATAAAATGACTTGCTATCAGAAAACAGAATATTCTAAGCTAGTAAGTATATTTAAAACACATTCACCCACAATTAGCTGATCCCTGAAGAGACTCCAGCAGTGTTCTAGAGGCTGTTGTGCTTTCAATATGGCATACAGAGAACTGTCACATGATACGGAATAAATCAACTGTGGCATTGCAGGGATGCCATCATAGGGCAGCAGGAGAGGAAAAGGGCAGGGGGGGGAGGGAGGGGAAGGATGCAGTGGCATGAATGCACCCCTCTTTCAACTGACTATGTCACAGGAGCACCAACTAGGGAGTGTTTTCAAGTCCCAAAAGCAAATGAGAATTCCCCTGCCCTGCCTCTCCATGCTCAATGGCACCTTTCCTCCCACAGCTGCCATGGGGGTGGACCTGTGAGGGTGCTTCAGAGCTGTTCCTTATGATCCAACTGGGCTCCACATGGTGCTGGGTTCACCCGGGGACAATGCCTGCAGAGGGTGGATTCTCCCTCCATCCCTGGCCCCCTTGGTGTCCTCTGCCAGCTCGGGAGCAGAGGCAGGGCAAAGGAACCTCTTACTGTTGCTCTATCTGTAGCCAACGCTAGTTCCACGTGCAGCATGCCTGCAGTTGGACAGGAGTGGCTCTGGATCATAATTTACCCAAACAATGGACAAAGAAAAATGCTAAGTATTTGCATACACTTCCTAAATACTGAACATAGTTTGAGACCGCTGTTTTCTCCAAGTTATGCATTTTTTTGTGTGAGTTCTACAAGCTATGTCACTCTTGTAGAGAGATTCCTGCTACCAGGCTCCTCCACCCAGCCACATGGAAAAGAGGCTCTAAATTTCCTCTCTGTCCTGGATCTAAATCAGCAAAGGCCAGCCTGTTTGGCAGGAGCGCCATAAATTAGCCCCGCATCTTCCCTGAGTGCCACTCCTATTCCCTTCTTTTACCTGATCCGTGCTCTGCTTTCTCCTCCCTGCCCTGTGCTTTCTGGCCAATCTACTCCTCTCCCCAATGTGCCACGTATTAAGGCTGTGCAAAACAGCACCGTTTTGTTTCAACTTCCATTTCACCATTTCATTTTGAGTTTCATTTAGTTCTGTTTCATTTCGTCAAAACTGCTTTGCTGTTTTGACGCTGTTTCGACATTTTGCCCGTAGGCTATAATGGGGAAGCACAAAACTGCCTATAGCTTTGTAATTTTTTCATAGATTTGGATGAAAGCAGCAGGGATGATAACCCCTTCTGATGGCATGAAGCTTATCAAGTTTCTAGGAGATAGGTAAAGGAGCTTCTGGGAAACTGCACCTCAAAGTCTTGAAAGCAAAACTCGTGTCACTTGTAAGTGTGAAGATACACGGGGGGTGAAAACAGCCAGCATGGTAGCCCTAGCTGAGGAAATTAAGCCTGCCAGCTTTCTAGGAGATAGGTGCAGGGGTTTCTGGCAAACTGCACCTCAGGTTGCTGACCAGCAAAACTCGTGACGTGCAACTGTGTGCGTGTGTTAAGGCACGTTCTCACCGGTGCTGGGGCCTCTACATGACACAGTAGTGTTCCCTGCCCCAATGAGTCCTCCTCCTCCCTTACAGCCTCAGTCTGGTCCACCACTTTAAATGACAATAGGTAAAATAATAACTTAGTAAGCAGCAGCACAGTAGCCCCAGCAGCATCTCAAGCAGCCAAACTGTGACAGAGCCTCTCTTTCCTCTCATGCAGGAGCTTCTTCTCCAGCACGTATGTTAAGGTGCACCTGTATTGTGTCCTTCCCCTCTCTTCCCCCTCCCTCTCCTTACTTTGTTTCCCTGCAGGCAAGACCAGCTTCAGCTTCAAAACTCATTTTGTTTTGAGGCTGTTTCGAAGCCCTTTGTTTCATTTTGATTTCGCTGTTTCAAGCTCAAAACAAGTCGAGACAGCATCAAAATGAAACAGCCTGTGAAATTTCGCACAGCCCGACCATGTATCACACACAAAAGCTGTCAGTGCCACTTGTAGCATACATGCATGCCAGAGGTTCAACACCCCTGATCTAAATACTCTCTCTGCTCTTTGATCATAGGGCTTGATGTTGCCATTCCAAAGCTTCAAATACTTTCAAGTCTCCAGCTTGTGGCAGCACCTGTGAGCTCCAAAGTAGCACTCCTAGAATACGCATTGCACCAACAGCCACAAAAAGTTTAGCTAATTATTACTGAAAAAAGATCCACTCAAGTAATCTACTATAGGATTTCTTCTGAGCCTTAACAAGTAAAGAAATGAAGAACTGGCCCACTGGCTTTAAGGGAGACTAAGAATTATGGTTCTAAACCACTTGGGCATTTTGAAATCCAGAACTTAACCGTATCTATTCTTGTTGGCATCCTGATAATGACTGAGGAGAGAAAAAAAAATCTTACTAATGCATCACAAGGAACAAAGTGACCCCAACTTGGCAGGTCTTGTGCTTCCCAAAGGAACATAAATTTGTCACTGATGCTTCCATTAACAGAAAGAAGAGATACAACTCTGGGCCTGTTCTATAATCATTTAACCATAAAGGTAATAATCAGAAACCCTAATGCTCTGCACCAATTTTTATCAATACCTTCTGATGACATTTTATTTTGATTAAAATAGGAATGGGTAAGATACTTAACAGTGCCATCTTTTACTTATAAAATGATCTTATGAGACTCCCATGTTTGTTACATTTCCTTCCCTTGACCAAAATAATAGATAGCTCCAGCTATAGCCAAGGGCCAATGTCAGTTCCAAGAATGCTACAATTCTGTCAACCTTTACATATAATATAGCAGAAAAAGTGAATGAGTGTAAAATCTTCACAAGCTCCTATGTGATTTTTGTTCCCAAGTCCCATTTTCAAAACTGACTTCAGCATTTAGGAAAGATATTGGGAGTTGGTCTCCTCGGGTGCCTATACATGTGCAAGTGAGCCTGCTCTGACATGCTGTAATTACAGTGCGTTGGAGCAGGCTCAATTATTCGAGTCTGCTGGAGTGTGATAATTACCACACTCCAGCAGACTCCAGTGTCACATATATCAGCATCCCCACACTGAAAAATGGCAGCAGGGATGCTTTAACTAAAAGCTCGTTGAATGAGCTGTAGTTAAAGAAATGTTTTATTAAACCCCCCCCTGCCACCATTGTTCAGTGTGGGGGGTTGCTGATGCAT